TTGGTTAGGATGCTTATCATAACTTTCTAACATACGGGTGTCTTTCAAAATTAATTCCTTATCTCTAAGCCCATCAAGTTATTTTTATGTAATTTCATTACAATTTTCGCTATCACACACAGTTATATGCAGCAGCTTACCCTTTTTCCACATGAAACTCCAACTTTCGAAATAATTCGTTGGTACTCCTAAACAGAGATCATTATTTATTTCCACAGTGTTTGAGCATCTTGAAATTTTTTGGGGTGGCAAGGAGAATTGGCTTCTCCACTGAATTAACAATAATTTAAATTCTGGTTACAGTTCTTAAATCGCATTTTATTAGTTGTCATTATTCGAGATGTATCACAGCTGCCTTGGAAAGATTAAATAACCATTTTATTGAAATTTTTAACTTAACAGAAGGTGGTACTTGTACTATAAATGAACTCAACTATTTGTGGGTATTTAAAGTAACCTAAAGATGAAGTTAAATTCAATTTAGATAACAGAGTCTGCCCACAAAATAAATTACTCAAGTTGGCTCAAGTGATTAACGGTACATATTTAATCGTCGGTTAGCAAGATGACCAAATTCGGAACAAAACTCTAGCAGAGGTAGTGAGCGATATAGTACGTAACTGTTTCCATAATATTCTTTAAAAAATTCTCTATAACATTTATATTATCGCTGTAATGGGGGAAAAACTGTACTCAAATAATTTTTTTTTTTTTTTTTTTTTTTAAATAAAAGCCGCGAAATGAGCAGAAAAGGCTGAAAGTCTTTCAGACGGAACAGCTGCTCATTCTGTGGATTCCTGTATTACGTGTATACAAGCCATTTTCTGTTAGAAAGTCCTTCACGAAGGCATCCCTCCCCTTAGGCAGATAGCCTTAGCGTGTTGCCACAATCAACCAAACGAAAACATATTCTTCCGATTCAGTTTACTTCTTCTAAAACCATAGAAACTTATAAACGTAGGGAATATTTAAAGGAAACAAGAAAATGTTTGGTTTTTGTACCTGATAGAAGAAAGTTCAACAGCAATAGTTTCAAATTTATATATTGTTGTCACATACTTTAGCAAAGCAAGAGATACAAAATTCTTTTGTTTATAGTTATATGGAACGATGTTAATTACATAAAAATACGAAATTCTTATTAATTTACTTTAAAAGTTCCTTTATGTTGAAAACCTGGCTCATTATTTTTGAAAGTTGGCTACATTGGATTTATTGCTCTTGGAAAATTCAGCTACAGCTCGCGGAAATTTCATAAAAATCTACCATGCAGCCTCTCTCTTCATTAAGTTTGGCCACCGCTGGACTAGAGCGTGCTAAAGATGATTTTGATTAAAAAAGATGTTTAAGATGATTTAATCGTTAGCGATTTTGATTGTATTTTAATCAAGAAATAAATGTTTTATGTCTTTAACTTCGCAGTCCTGATTTTCGTGATAACCTGTGATACAGTAAAAGTCGTTAATCCGGAATCGTCGGGACTTCGGCGATTCCGGATTATCGATTTTTCCGGATTATAGATCATCAGTTTAAATCTGGTAAGATGGCATGCAGAAATTATAAAATTAAAAATATGAAACCGTAATTTATGAAATAAAGAACAATTATGATCTAAAGGGTATCAAAATTTACAAAAAACTTAATATTTATTTGTTTACTTTATTAAACATTTCTTTCAATGTAAGTTGTTTAAGTTGCTTCGTTTTATGTGATAATACTTTCTCTTTAATTCTATAAACAGACATAATTTCTTCTTCAGTTACAAAGTTCCGCTGTTCAAGTCCTATAATTGCTGTGTCCAGAATACCGACTAATTTGTCAATCGAAATTTTTTCGTTTTCAATAACCTCTGTGTCACTTCCTTCACTATCGGAAGCGAATTATAATGACGAGGAATTTGATTTAAATCATATCAAAGACGGAGTACATCGAGATGAAATACTACATTTAGTAAGGAATTATAAGCCAAATAAAATAAAAACATCTGCCCTGAAGATAAGGATAGTGCTGACAGATCAACTTCCAATTCATTGCGCGCCGCGGCGTCCCCCCCCCCAATCCGCAGAACAGCTTGAAATTGATAAACAGATTTCGGAATGGTTAGAGAAACAAAGGATATGCCTTTATCCATTTTTTGCAGCAATTTCCACTTTTTGTTTGATGGACATCGAAACATACTTTCGCTTTGTAGATCCTTTGGCAGCTCCAGCATCGGAAATTCTGTTTGACATAATCGAAAGTTCAAGCTTACTTTTATAAAATTGCTCTAACAGTCTGCAAAAAATAATAAGCCTGATCCAATTTGAAGATTAAGGAACAACGCAATCTGCAACATTAACTGAAATAGATAATTAGATAATTTTAGCTTATACCGTCCGTTATACATTAAACGCGCATGCGTAAACATATTATGCGCATGCGCACACGCTTATGCGCAGCCGTAAAGGTCTTACGCCCATGCGTAAACGCGACGCATGCGCAGAAAGTTTGTAGCTTTGAGGTCCGGATTATGGGTGTCCGAATTAACGACTTTTGACTGTATTATACTAACTATTTAATGACGATTTTATAGGCATAAATAAAGGATTTAATTTTTTTTTTAAATGGAAAAAAAAAGTCGTGCTTCACCTGATATTTTTTTTAATAACATTGAAAAAGGAAGTTTCTGGTATTAAATTTTCAAGCAAAACTCTCTGGTTCTCAAAAAAATTTACTTTAATTATTAATTAAAATTATACGTTTATTTTCGGGAATTTTAGACGATTTTTTATAATTTCAGGAATATCAAATTATCTTGTGAATATCTAATTAAACCGTGAATTCAGTTTTTTCCCTTGTTATTTTTTAAATTCTGTTGTAATTATTAGATTAGCATTGACACAGTTTAATACTAATTTCGATCAGAATTTATACAAAATACACTGCGAAGTAATTTTAATCCAACATCAAAACCAGAGTTTTGAGCTTCGAATTACACTATAAGTTGATCCAGATTTTTAGAATACAAAAGAAATATGTTCTCTGAAGTTAATGGAGTGGTCGTTCATTGCCTGTCAATGCTACGAGCAATTTCATTGTCGAATTACCATTTCTCTAAAACTGAAAATGAAGAAAAATTGTATCTACAGTATAACTTATAAAAATACCATTAATTCAGTCTCAAGGCAGTCTTAATAATGGTGTTAAATATGCTTCAAGAATTTGATTGATTAATAAATATAAAGTTTAAAAAAATGCATAATATAATGTTTGTTTAATTATACTGCAGTAATAAGTGTTCTTCTGGTAGACGTTTTAAAATGTTATTGCAAATCCTCGAGCACGAAACTTACTGTAAATACTAGGCCATAAAAGTTTTCAAAATTTTCCAACCCCACGAATTAACTTCCCCACTCCACGCTATATATTACTACTTTACTTTTAATTGAGGTAGAATGAGAGGGCTATTCGGTCGTCAATAAAAGTCTCCATGGCTTTTATGGATTATTGATTTTCGCATCAAAATTTATATCCTTATGCAAATTTCCTTGGGTAAGTTTGGTCGTTTAATAGTGACCATGACTAAGATTTTAATTTATAAACGACAATTTCTCAGTTTCATGTTTGCTACAAACAAATTGCTCAAAAGATAAATACATGATTATCGACTTTTTCAACTTTAAGAATTTAAATTGCGACAATGGCTCTTAATATAAGCACTGAAATTTTGTTAAGATGCACCTAAAACGAACAAGGCAAGAACGGTTTATGATATTTTAGGTTTTGAAATAAAATTTTGAAGAAACCTCCCGTCACGGACGATGATGATAATCATTTGAAGGATTAGTGAAGTTCCTAATAATGAATGTCATTCATTAGGCGAATAAATGAGGAGTTTTGAACACTACTACGGCGAAATCATTGAAAAAGTAGAATATATACTCCAAGTTAATGTAGAGGGAAATAAAAAAGTCAGTTGCTACTGCGAAAATAAGGATTATCGTTTGCGGATGCTCTAATTTTTTAAGAATTCTAATATCTGAGGCAATTATTATCGAAATATGATTTACCAATGAATCCATCAAAACACGTAGCTTTCATTTAAAATATTCTCTGATCTGGTGAACTTGGCTTGACAGCTTCTACTAAAACGGAGATTCAAAAATCAAGTCACAGTTGTTGACATCATCAGGCAAAACTCCGTATATTTATAAAAAAAAAAATAAAAATAAAAAAAAATAAAAATAAATAATAAATAAATAAAATAATAATAATAAAAAAAAACTCATATTAAACAGCTTTCCATGGAAATAATTTCATTGCAAGACCAGCAACAGGTCACCGTAGTGCCAGAAAAAAATGGCGCATTTAGAGGAAGTTTACTCCAAGGCTGAAGTGCGAGGAAATACAGGATATTCGCAGTCAAAATATCTTAAATGTATCAAGATTCATTTAGAAATTACGGTATTATGGTAGAGGAGAAAAAGCATTCTCACGTCAACCACAATTAAATAGTGCTATTCGACATTCGAACACAGTGGCCACATATCTTGACTGATAAATGATGGACAATGATAACCATCTCTATGTGGAATATGAAAGATGTGTAACCAGTCGATGAAAGCATTTATACGTAATCGCAGAGTAACAATCTTAGAAAGTGGACAGAAGTTTATGTTTACATGAGGTACAATTTGCAAACAATAAAAATGTTGAACAGAGATTTTCATAGGCAAAGAATTTAAAGATTGTTTGAACATTTAGAGAAGTTTATATACAGACTGAGTGATTACGTTAAAAAGAGCGTCATGCTTTCTTGTCTTACAGTACTGCAGTGCGCCGTTCAATATAATTTTCTTGATCTACAATAATCAAATATAACTTTTGCTGCGTAGAATACACCGGAAGCAAAAATTTAGAAAACCCAATAGTATAAGTAAAAATTTACAGAACAACTAAAAATATAATGGCAACATATCTCATTATTTGATTAAAAATTAAGAAAAGCAAAAAGAACATACTGAGATCCAAAATCCACAACGGTGTTTCTCCAGTCGATGCAAAGCCAATTTCACCTCCAAACACGTAAATGGTGTTCTAAAAAAAATTGAATAATTACGTTAATAAATAAATATTTAAGATAAAATATTTCAACAGAAATAATACCTACTTTTCCAACTAAAAAAATACTTACTTTCCAACAAACCATACTGTGCTCCTGAAGACAGGGTGGACGGTTGCCTCGACATTTTAATTCCTCCCAAACACTCTGCACTGAAAGAGAAAACAAAATATTATGCTATGGCCGAAGAGAATGTCTTATACAGAAAAGAATTTTTCAAGCAAAATGTTAATGAATGCGAAATATTTTCACAAACATTTACAGAAATATTTCAGACAGCTATGTAGGTTCTGCAGTCTGTTCTGGTTTTATTTTAGCTATCTCTGTACTTGGATAAAATTGCAGTACGTTGAGTTTTTTTGAATTTTCAATAATTAACGTGATTTATTCCAATTATTCACAATATCCTAAATTCAAAGCATGCGTCTGGAGTTTTGATGGTCCTAAAATGTGCCTTCAAGATTAAGATGGATTACAGGATGTTTATAAATGAATGGTGCGGTTTTAAAAATTAATAATAAATCGATGTATAACTTTATATGGGCAAACTTTATAGCATAAGCACCGACCGCTGTCCACGTTTTTCATGCATTAATCACAATACTTCATTATGTGTAACCTTTGTTACCCGACACACATCTACACGATAATAAAATTCTTCCCATACTCGGTGTAGCATGTCCGTCGTGACGGTCAGCAGTGCATGCTTTATCCGCCACAGACTTCTTCAAGGGACACGGATATTAGCAGTACATATACTCGGTCTTTAACAAACCCCCAAAGAAACAAATCGCAGGGTGTTAAATATGGCGAAAGAGGTGGTCAGGTGAAAATGTTCTTATCTGCTGTAGCAGCACGTCCAACTCAGCATAGGTGAAGAATACCATTACGAAGCTCTCGTACATTCCTGTGAAAATGGGGCGGATCGCCGCCCAGTTGCAAAATGTAATTATCATGATTGGCGTTTAGCTAAGGTAACAACCATGTTTCCAACATGTCTAGAAATGAGTCACAAATTATAGTTACTTGTTCGAAGAAAAATGTACCGTGCACTTTCTCGCGGGTCACTGCACAGAAAACGTGCACGACACTCATGCTGCAGTGAAACCACAGATATGGACACCTCAAATCGGAGCACACAGAATGCCTTTTCCTGTTGCAGCGCCATCTTGGAAACTGATGATGCGGCTGCGCAGTAAGCATGACGAGCAAACAGGAGGTAACACATGAGAAACACATCATTGGACAGTTGCCAATACTTACAGTGTAGATTTTACAAGGGTAAGATAATCCATTGATTTAATATTAATTTTTAAAACGACGCCATTCATTTATAAAAACACCCTGTATATATATATATATAAATCTCATCAAACTGCACTATATTATAAAGTCGACGCTTTCTATAGCGACTGTTCATTATAATGACAGGCGTAAAAAGTCCCAAATGTTTTCCTGTTTACATTATGTTATTTTTATATCTCGTGCTGGATTAGTTACTCCCATACAGAACCCGAATTCAGCTTCTTACCTAACATTTGGACTTGTGTACACGTGAAACTCAATTGCGCAGCTGCTGTGAACTTGCATTTGACAAGAGAGTTGTCTTGAACAAATTAAATGTTATATTTTTTAACGACTGAATATGTCCTTAACTTGTAACGGAGGGAGAGGGGCGACATTTCGTTTCAATGCGCACTCGCTAAATCAGATGAATGGGAGATCTTCAGTAGTAACATTCATAGCGCCCTAATTGTGAAATATTAAATCAAAGTCCTTCCAAACTCTATTATTCTGACAAGAGAGTTTTCGCTTCGTCTGTAAATATTATGACAATGTCCTACGCAGTTTAAAATAATCTTTTTATTAACTCTTAAAATTAAATAGTGTAGAGTCATTAGGATTTTTTTCAGGCAGAAAAGATGAAAAATAGCAAACGCCTTCGCCGGGAATCGAACCACGGACCTCTGGAATACCGGCCCAGCGTGCAGAACCACTACACCACGAAGGACGCTAGGAAAGTAGGAGAAATACCTTATATACTCCCCTTTTTAAAGGGCGACTACGGTTTTAAGGGACGTAGTCGCCAAATCCAGGGTGCGGAGAATCATCACCCACAACCCTTTTAGTTCGGGCGCTACTTGTAGAGTCATTAGGATTTTTTTAGAGGCAGAAATGATGAAAAAATATGCAACCGCCTTCGCCGGGAATCGAACCACGGACCTCTGGAATACCAGCCCAGCGTACTACCGTTACACCACGAAGGCACGCTAGGGAAGTGGGAGAAATACCTTATAACAGAAGGCAATATTTATGCTTACAAAAAAACTCCGTCACTTGCGGATAAAGTAACATAAGTAGAAACTTCAAGGTAAGGTAGTCACAGACTACACAGGTTGGTCTGCTTAATCTAGCTTAATATTTTAATATTAACGTCGGCTAGCGAAATGGCTAAAGCCGGAATATTTAGCGGGACAACTGGGCGAAAGGACTTGTATAAAGTGCAGGTGAAAAGCTAAGTGCTTCAGAGGCGTTGGTTTACAAGTAATCTACGACGTAATGTAAAATCCCGGAAGAAGACAAAAATTTGTGAGCAACGTGGTGTAGTGTTGTTTGGGTAGTCAAACAACAAATAAAAGCAGGGAAAATAATTATCGTTATTTGACAACCGTTTATATTGCTATCCCTGTGGTTTGAAGTTTAGAAGACTAGAATATTTTCAGCCAAACTTTATGTCTGTTATTCAACCAAAATCAAGAGATGATTCTATTTATTTATCGGCTTTTCATAATATTTATGATCACAACTCTTTCGTGCTTGTTTCGCCTTTCGGAATATATCAACAGACATGAACCGATTTTGTAAGTTACGTCTTAAGCGTATGAAATTCTTGGAACATTTCCATTTTTTGCTTAAATGCAAACATTATAATGTCATTCTCAAATTTATGCAAGTGAAATGTAGTCTTAAATCCTACGTTTCAAACGCAACTAACAAAACTGTTTCTGAGAAAAATCCTTTCTAGACTGATGTGAGATAAAATTTATAGCGTGACTATTCTAACGGCACTGAACTGCTTTAAAGCAGCATGGAATGCAGTTACAAATACAACCATTAAAAAATTGCTTCCGTCATGCTGGAAGTGCTAACCGGAAATGGAGAATCTACTTTAGAATGATAGATATTCAGCGAGTTAATGATAAAAATTTCACGGAAGACGAGGAAATAACTACGTGAAATTTCCGAGAAAATAAATTTGAAGGAAATGTTGAATTTCACGACTATTTACGACCATTTGAAGCCTAAAATATGCGGAAAATGCGTTCAAAAATAATATTTTTCGCTACCACACACAAAAAGAAATTGCATTATCGCTGGATGAAGACGTTCAAATAACGCTGAATACCAATACAAGCTTTGCAAATATTAATGACACTTTTTCAAAAAAGATACGAAAAAAACACAGCAAATTGTTTACCATTTTTAATTGAAACAGAAAATTTTGTTTTTAAAAAAAACCTAGAATGCATTAAAAATAGACAACGATTTCAAATTATTTTTATTGAAAATAAATGCTTACAACAAACATAATTAGCATACTATAATTTTTATCATTTTATTATTTATTTTCCAACAATTTATTTCATTTGGAAGTAATTGTTGCTTTCTTAATTTTGACATATTATTTTCATTGTCAATGTCTGATAATAAAGCAAACAGTAATTGGCTATCGTGTTCTATATAATAGAAAATTTTAAAAATCTTAAATCTGCTTTCACAACAATGATTACTCATCATAGCTTCTTTTCATAATCTTTATTGCCATAAAGTTAGAAGCATTGGATGAAGCAGAGGATGCCCTTCAAACATTCTAAATATAAATTACCAAACGATTAATCACGATATAATTACCAAACAATCAGCACGGTTATTTCGATGGAAATACGCATTTTGCAAGTATCTTTTCTACACATGGTTAATTTTCCCACACATTTAACTAGTTTGCCCTAAAAAAATGCCTAATCAGTGGCTAAGTGGTTAAGACCACTGAATATTTGGGCGTTCTATTTCAAGAGAAAGGACATGGTTGGTTTTCCCCATATGTAACGTGAATACCAACAAATTTCCCTTGTTTACCATATCCAAATAATCGAATCTTATCCTTAAAAAGGTCCTTCATGAAGGCAAATAGTTCTTTTCGATTTCATCATAATTGACTTAAAAACAAACTCGTTACACATTTTGACCAAATTTGTTCGATCATTTTTACAATCGTATTTAATATACTGGTATGACTTTAGAGGCGATCAGAGTGCGAGGATGAAACAAAGTGCGGAAAGAATCGAATGAGCAGTGGGATCGGAAGAATCAATTCAATCGAACCTCTAACTTATTCAATTGATTTCTATCAGTTGTAGCTCCGAGATTCTCTAAAACCTCCTCTTTACATAACTAACAATAAACTAATAATTTTAAAAAAAATTCAAAAAGTTGGGAAATGAAAAAAATTAAACTGGCTTTTAACATGAATGGGGGGATATTCTTTCTTCTAAAATCACAATCGAACTTTCCTGACATGCTTCCGACAAGATTTTTTTTGGGGGGGAGTAAACTAAATTTAAAGGTGCTGTCTCTTCGTTTTGTCAATCATTACTCGCTCGTTCAGTAAATTGAATCGGTTCTCTGAACTAGTTCACGAGCAAATAGTGTATCTTTAAAACAACTGCGGTTCAATGTTTATCTCTATGCAAAGGTGATCATTTAAAGAACTAGAAAGTTACGAATTTTGACAGGTTTAATGCTTAACAAAATTCTACACAGTTGATGGCCGAGTGATTAAACATTGGTAATTAAGTGTTTAGTCATTATTAAACAATGGCCGATCATTAATTATACAAAATTATGTTTAGAATTACTTATGAAAATATCTAATAACTCGTCCTAGATTCCATTCCAAGTGATGGAAAGCATGGCGTTTTCGTAGTTTTCCTCATGTTCCGTGTTACTTTTCCTCAAAAAGACCTTCACAAAAATATTCCTCTCTTAGACAGATAGATTCAGTGTATACTGTATCGTGATAACTCAGTCTAGATACCTGAATCGCCTGGATGTGTGTTTAAAATAGGGGATCAAAATATAACCAGAAAATAATAACGATCTGCACATTTACAAGAATAACATAATTACATCTATGGAAATAATATAATTTCACATATAGTGGCTATATTTTTTCATGATAGAAGGATGGAACAACGTAAGAACATATGGAGTATATCAAACAATTCTTCAAAATAAGAAATAGTGGCATTTGTTAAAGATGATGGAACAGAAATATAGAAGATAAATAAGAGACTAGCTTTGCAGTAAGAAATAGTAATATTTCCTAAGAAGGGTTTTAGATGTAAATATTTTATGTTATATATCACACATAGTTTTAATAGCGATAAAAAATAAAAAATAAAAATTGCGATTTGAGTTTCGCTTACAAACTTACACACGAAATGTTTACCATTTAAGTTTCAGAGAAGATTTAAAAAAACATCCATAAGATTAAAAAGAAATCGCCATATGCTTTTGGCTTAGTAGCTGAAAAAATATTTTAAGATAAGTAGTTATGATAGGCTACTAATTTAAGACACCCCCCCCAAAAAAAAATTAACGATACACATCGTAAAATCTTATAATTAAACTGAACTGTTCAAGATGGGAAAGCTTAACGTTAAGAAAACATTTTGTTACATTATTTCAGCGCAAATTAACGCCACGCGGTTTTGCACACTTAGTTAATAAAAAAGAGATTTTATTACCTATGATATATTCATTGGATCGAAGGCATACGATAAATAAATATTTTCCTTAATTGGCAATACTTTCTTTTTTTGTTCAAGCACGAAATCCACTTTTTGAACACAAACATTTCTCCAAGCGCATAAAAAGTTTAAAAGAACATACAAATGTGAGCTACATGGATTAATAATTCTCATGTAAAATGTGCCTATAAAAGCATTATAATGAACAAAATAAATAATTATATATATATAAGAATGTTTTAACAATATTATAAGAAATTATAGAAATAACTATAAGAACATTTTAAGAAAAATATAAAAGGCAGGTCTCATACCTT